CCCCGCCCCTCTCTGACTCCTGCTCCAGGATGGTGAAGGAAGTGCGCTCCTGCAGGACGCCCGACTCCGAGTAGGCCGACAGCCGTACCACGTTGTGATTGGCCGGGATGCCCGAGGGGAGGGTCAGCAGCTTGTACTGAAGCAGCTGGGGGGGCGCTCCTGTGGCACAATCCACGGCGCAGGGCCTGTAACAGGTCCTAAAGAAAGGAAACAGAAGAGTTAACGTCACCCATCAGAGTTCCAGTACCGTTTGTCCGGAACCTTCCGTTCAGGTTACCCCGTTCTTCCACTCCTCTGATAGGACGGAGGGCAGGGCGTGTCCAAACACTGGTGTCCTCCCCTGGTATTGAAGCACATCTGGTTGTGTCCACACTGGACGCCGTGCTGGACACACTCATCGATGTCTGCAGGTGGAGAAGACAGAGTGAGGTCAGATGATTGACAGGTCGTTGCTGCTGTGTGTGGGGGGGGGAGGGGGCGGGGCCTAAACACGTCACCTTCACAGCCGCGGGACACGGGTCGGAGCTGATATCCTGCTGGACACACGCACGTGAAGCTGCCCGCTGTGTTCCTGCATTCGTGTTGACAGGACTTCCTGAAGACGCACTCGTCCACATCTGAACCACCAGGGGGCGACAAGAGAAAAGGTGAATAGTTGTCGGAAATATTCCAAAAATCTTTTTGTCTCCGCTGGTCTCGGGTGTTGGACGTCAAGGACGGCAGTCCGAGGACTTTTTGACTCACCGACACACGTCCCGTCTCTCTGGGTGTAACCGGCGGGACAGCTCTGTCGGGTGATGCGAGACGCTCCGGTGGAGCGGGACAGGATCGGTCTCCCCAGAGACGACACCAGCTGAGGGCGGAGCCTGGCCCTCACTCTGGTCCTGTTGCCGAACGGTTGGCGTCCCTCCAGGCCGGCGCAGGAGCGTCCGTCTCCCAGCAGCACGGTACCAGGAGGACACTGGCACCTGAAGCTGCCCGGTACGTTCCGACACTGGTAGGCACACGGGTTTGGGGTCTGCAGGCACTCGTCGATGTCTGAAAGTCCAAAGTCACACGTGAAGTCAAGTTCATCAGAGACGACGACGACGACCACGAAGACCACGACGACATCGTACCTAGACAGGGGAGACCCACGCCCTGGGATCGGTACCCTCGGGGACAAACACAGCCGTAGCCCCCCATGGTGTTCTGACAGATCTGGGTGTAGCGACACATGTGACTTCCGTCCTGACACTCGTCAATGTCTGAAAACAGAGAACCTGCGATGACCGTGTGGTCCAATCTGTGGCGCTGTTCCGACAAATACTCAAGTCACACTCGAGTGGAACTTGCTGAGCGGTCAGACCGTGACAGCTGTCGGTCTTTACGATGGTCTGTCTGGAGGAGGAGGGTCACTCACCAACACAGGCTCCGTCCTCGTCCTTGTTCATCCCAGATGGACAGCTGTCCAGACACTGGTACCCCCCCTCCGTGTTCCTGCACTGCTGGTGGGCAGGACACACGTTCCTGGTGCACTCGTTGATATCTGTGTGTCAGGGACACGTCAGTGTTAGGGACCATTTACAGCATGGGGTCCAGGGACACCCGCACCGGACTACACCCCAAAGCTACACCCTCTCCCCACCCGTGTCCCCTGTGAGGTGGACGTACCGAGGCAGCGGTGTCCTGACAGCTGGTATCCAGGGTGACAGAGACAACGGTAGGAGCTGAGGGTGTTGACACACTGGTGCTGACACGGAGACATGGCCGACTCCTGGCACTCGTCCACGTCTGAAAGAACCGATTCGGGAGTCGGGCTTTTTTTCTGCAGATGTTCAGTACCCGGGGACGGACACTGAGACGGTACTCACCTTCGCAGCTGGTTCCTGTGGCGCTGGGCTTCAGTCCCGGTCCACAGCGGACCTGGCAGCGGTAGGTGCCCACGGTGTTGACACACTGCTGGTTGTAGTGACACATGTGGGAGTCCTGCGAACACTCGTCGATGTCTGCGGCGGAAACACAACGTTAACCCTTACCAGAGGTGACCTCTAGGGGTCAGTGTGGTTCCAGTGCCAGGGGACAGTCGTCTCACCTTGGCAGACGTTGGTCTGTGGAGAGAGGGTGAAGCCGGAGGGACAGGAGCAGGAGAACCCCCCCATCAGGTTGTTACAGGAGTGGGAGCAGGGAGACAGGAGGTCACACTCGTCCTCATCTGGGACACCAGGAGACAGAGGTTTGAGACACTACTGGACTACTACTGGACCAGTACTACTGGACCAGTACTACTGGACCAGTACTACTGAACGAGTACTACTGAACCAGTACTACTGAACCAGTACTACTGAACGAGTACTACTGAACCAGTACTACTGGACGAGTACTACTGAACCAGTACTACTGGACCAGTACTACTGGACCAGTACTACTGAACGAGTACTACTGAACCAGTACTACTGGACCAGTACTACTGAACCAGTACTACTGAACCAGTACTACTGGACCAGTACTACTGAACGAGTACTACTGAACCAGTACTACTGGACGAGTACTACTGAACGAATACTACTGGACGAGTACTACTGAACGAATACTACTGGACCAGTACTACTGAACCAGTACTACTG